GCTCATCGGAGCTTAAACTTGGCGCTGCCTTGTGCTGACACGCGGTGAATGCTCATCGCCCTTGTGGATCGGGGATCTTCTGACCTGGGTCAATCCAGACCCGGGTCAGCAGGAAACCAAAAAACTGCAATGCACGAACAAAAACTGCAACGCAGGTCTTTGCAAACCCGGGTCAGCCAATATGCGCGGCCGCCTCGCGGCCACGAGCGGCTCGCTGACCCGGGTCAGCCAGAGGGGGTCTTCGCAGGATCCTGCAGGATCCGGTGTCCTGGCTGACCCCCGTTTGCAATGACCCCCGTCTCAAGGCTCCCGAGTGGACATTCGCGCGCTCGCCCCGGCGCCGACAAGGGGGGGCGCGCAGCCGCCCCCCTCCTGAGGGCGCCGGCAGCGCCCAAAGGGGCGGGCAGGACGACGCAGCCGACGAGCAGGGCAGACCACCCAACGCCCAGGCGTTGCGTGCTCCGAGCGCGCGCCCCGCGAAGCGAGGAGGAGTCATATACCGAAAGCGCGCGGGCCACGTGGACACCCTGCTCCTCGAACTGCCCGCGGCAGCTCAGGGAGAGTCTCACTGAGACCCGCGCAGTCCTCGGGAGGAGGTGGCACTCGTCGATCCAGGCGGGGTGGTTCCAGAAAAACTCTGGGGAGCCTCCAGAAGCCGACACCAGGATGCCGAAGCTTCGCTGGTGCCGCTTGCCAGCCGAACGCCGGAATCACATCCGCACGACCAAACTGAAAAACGGTGCTGATTCCGCCAAGTCGTGCCGAGCATCGCGATTGAATCCGATGGGCCTTCCCGTCCTCCTCCTCCTCCTTTCTGCATCTCCTCGCCCTCGACAGCAATTTCCCAATATGGATATGACTAGCCCTCCTCTCCTGACTCTGTGCGCAAGTTGTCCCGTCCTCTCCGCGTGTTGTTTTTCAGTGCACACAAGATGTCATGATCTGGTCTTTCCCATCTTTGTCTGTTTGGTCGTTTTTTCACCCTCCGACCGTTTCTGGTCCTTCCCGAGTGGTGCTGCCGCTGCAGCGTGGACCTCATTTTAGGATCGGCGCTTTGCTCCCGTCGTTCAGCATGGCACTCTCGCGCCAACGCGGGCCACTTTTCTGGTTCCGTGTCCTTCCTCGTCGTTGATGCCCCACTCCTTTCCCGTGCTTCGCCTTCCTCGGGTTCTCCTGCTCCTGCCACTCCTTCTACTCCAGCAGCTGCTGCTGTCTGCCCTCTTCCTCCTCCTTCCTCCTCATCATCCTCGTATCCTCCTGCTCATCCTCCTGCTCGTCCGCCACTTCCACCTCCAATGTGCGCAGCTCCCCATTCCTGATAGCGCCTGACCCGATGGGGTCCTTTTTGGAGTTCCAGGTCCGCTATGACACGCGTCGGCGGATTGAGGAAACATTAGCGTAGTGGGAAAGGATGGGTGGGAGGAGTAGGCTGCCAGATATGGTGCGACTGCACCTGGCACTACTCTCCTCTCCTCCAAAGATGGTCGGGGAGTAGCCAGCCCCCGCTCTGCGTACTTTTTTCCAAAGCAAGAAGATGTTATCATTTTGTCTTCCCACTGCTGTTTTTGCAATCTGGTCGCTTCGGTCCTTCAAAATGGTGCTGCCGCTGCAGCGTGGACCTCATTTTAGGATCGGCGCTTTGCTCCCGTCGTTCAGCATGTCACTCTCGCCCCAGCGCAGGCCTCTTTTCTGTACCCGAGTCTTTCCTCATCGCTGTCGCCCGCCTCATTAACCCTACTCCGCCTTCCTCTGGTCCTCTTGCTCCTCCAGCTCCTTCTACTCCAGCTGGAGGTGCTGCTGCTGTTGTTCGCCCTCGTCCTCCTTCTTCCCTCATCCTCCTTTCTCCTCCTGCTCTTCCTCCTGCGCGTCCGCCACCTTCATCTCCAATGCATGCAGCTCTCCAATTCCTGTTGCGCATAACCCGATGGGGCCCTTTTTGGAGTGCCAGGTCTGTTATGACACGCGTCGGCGGATTGAGGAAACATCAGCACGATAGGAAGGGATGGGAGGGAGGGGTAGGCTGTCGGATATGGCGCGAGTGCACCCAGCTTGCCTCCTCCTCCTCCTCCTCCTCCTTCTCCCCCTCCCCCTCCCCCTCCTCCTCCTCCTCCTCCTCCTCCTGTTCCTCCTCCTGTTCCTCCTCCTGTTCCTCCTCCTCCTCCTCCTCCTCGGCCTCCTCCTCCTCCTCCTTTTCCTTTTCCTTTTCCTCCTCCTCCTCCTTCCTCTCAGCACGTCGTCCGATCGTCCCCCGCAGGGTGACAGGGAGCGCAGGCCAGAGCGAGCGGGGGCGGGGGGGTGCGGCGGTGGTGGCCTGGTTGCCGCGCGTGGGGGGTTCCCAGTGCGCAATCCCACCACGCCATGCGATATCAAGAGCGCCACTTGGCAAGGTCGGCAAAGCCGAGTTTCGGAGTTTCGAGTTTCGGAGTTTCGACGTTGGGCGGAACGGGGGGGGAAGGGGGCCTGGCTCCGGACCTCTGCTTAGTGCGACTGTTTGCAACAGTGCGTCCTATGGGGGAGACTCCACCTGCTCGAAGCAGGCGCCAAACCTAGCCAAGATCTGCTCCATGGAGGGGGGAGGGGGGGTGCGAGGGCCCGCGCCGATCAGCCAAACAATGCATAAGGAAACGACGACTAGGTCGGCTCTCCAGACACCTGCTTTTTGCTGCGAGCTGGTGCAAGATTCGGGCGGCACCTGGTCGGGAATCGCAGGCCCAGGTCTTCTTCAGAAGACTCGCAGTTTACACGGGGCTCTCCTGCGTGGCGGCGGGGGCCTTCCAGCAAACCTTTGAGGCAGAGGATGGCGCCTTTGTCGGGTGCTGCCACAGAGGTGCCCCCCGGCTCCAGGTGCCCCGAGGGAGAGGCCCGAGAGGCCCCGGCGGCCTCCGGAGCACCCCTAGCGAGGCGCAGAGGTGCCCCATGGGCTCCCACATGGGCTCCCACATGGCCGATTTCGGAAACCCGTGACCCAAAAACGTTTCCATGTCTTGGGGGCACATGTTTTACTTCTGCCACCTTCCGCCGCTCTTCCGCCGGCTTCTGCTAGCGGAGGCGGCCTCGTCTTACTCCCGCCGCCCTTCCGCCGCGGCAGAGACGACAACTCCTTCGATCCTCGAAGGCCCAGCCCTTTTTCTTTTTTTTGGAAACGCCTCACATCGTACGAAAAGCTGGGGGCACCTTGGGCCAGAGCCACCCCTCTGGCCCTCCCCCTTTGACTCTCGCGGCCCCGCACGAGAAGCACCGAGGCTTCTGTTGCTCCCATCGTACTTAAGGACCACACCCCAGACATGATTTCGAGCATCCGGAAGAAAAGTGTCGAAAGAGTGCCGGTACAGAGTCGGACGAGTGTCGATTGCCCCCCAGGGCCCGACACGTGAAGACTTTCGAGTTTCGGGGTACTCTTTTGGTGGTCGAAAGTTTTTCTGGTGATCAAGGCTAGAATTAAATCGGGCCTGTCCCCCTACAGGGGAATTTTCGACGAAAATTAAAACATATCAAACAATAATCCAAAAATAATCCCAAAATGATCTGGGGACTATTTTTTGATTATTTTTTGACATTTTTTTGACATTTTTGGGGTCTATTTCTTTCGTCGAGTATCCCCCTGTGGGGGGACAGGCCCGACCTGAGGCTAGACAGCAGGCTGGAGCATCACAACTCTGGCCCGGCCCTCCCCCCCCCCTTCGACCCTCGCGGCCCCGCACGAGGAGCGCCGAGGCGGCGCTCCTCACAACGAGAGGGGGGGGGGGGGCGGGCGGTGGTGGCTGGGCGGGGGCGGCGACGGCGCCTCGGGAGGGGGCGCCTCCCGAGGCGAGGGGAGGAGGAGGAGGAGGTGCAGGAGCGTGGCGGGCAGGGCGGGGGGGGGGAGGCACGGGAGGGGGGGGGGGGACAGGAGGAGCAGGGGAGCAGCAGCAGCAGCCGGCAGCGGGAGGAGGAGGAGGAGGAGGAGGAGGCGCGGGCGGAGCAGGAGAGTTGAAAGGAGGAGGCGCGGGAGGAGCAGGATCAGGAGGAGGAGGAGGTGCAGGAGCGCGGCAGGCAGGGGGGGGCAGGGGAGAATTGGGGGGGCAGAAGGAGCAGGGGGGGAGTACAGTCAACGCGTACCATGAGGATGCGCGAGGAGGATGCGAGGGCCTTGGGCGCCCATGCTGAGGCTCTTCGGGCGGGGCTGGCCAGCGCGAGTGGCCGAGGACGGGCCGAAGATGACCCAAGAGTCGCAAGGATGCGAGGGCACCCTTGGGGAAGTCGATCATCCTCACTCTTCGGGGTGACTGTAGCAGCAGCCAGCAACAGGCTGAGGACGGGCCGAAGATGACCCAAGAGTCGCAAGGATGCGAGGGCACCCTTGGGGAGGTCGATCCTCCTCACTCTTCGGGGTGACTGTAGCAGCAGCCAGCAGCAGGATGGTAAGGAGAGAGAGGATGCGCGGCGGACGCTTCCGCATCCGCGCCCTCGCGGTCTGGATTCTGGGGCGCGGCCCTGCGGATATGCGATCGCACGGATACGCTCCGCGCCAGGTATCCGCGAACAAGACCGTCCCGTATCCGCGGGGTCGCGACCCAGGGGCCCAGCCCGCGAGGCCGCGGATTGGCAGATGTTTTTCGTCCACGAGACGAAGGGGGGGGGGGCGGGTATGATGACGAGTATTTTTTGTTTGAGCATCCGCAACCACATGCTCTCTTTATGAGGAAGCAAGTTGAAGTAAGATCTGCCGTGAGACCTGATATCTTGACCAACCTTCACTTCGCTCGGGGGGCTTCGACTGGCACGCATCTGCGAGATTCCTCAGGACCAGCAGGAGCAAGGTAGTGAGGAACTGGGTGGAACATCCTCCTCTGCCCCAATGGGAAACATGCGAATCGTGTTGTCGTTTCCGCGTCTTTCTTTATGCGGCGGCCGTATCTCAAGTTTTGCTTCTTCATGGAGTCCAAAAGTGCATCCGCCAAGATCCCAGAACGATGGACAAATGTAAAAGAGGACAGAAGAACAGACTGTATGATCTGGTCCTCCCCCACCATGAGGTCCAGGAGAGCGTCCACAAGCAGCCGCAAGTGCGCGGCGCCCTCGGTGGAGGCCGCGAACGGTGCGAACACCTGGTGGGAGCGAGGAAGGGGCAAGGAAATAAACAATCACCGTGTGCAAATATTTAGTATGGTCCATGAGCGGACGCGGGTTGGGCGCGTTGGCGCGGAGAAGACGAGACGAAGACCCAAGCTGCCAGCTACTTTTTCTCGATGGATCCGCTGCGGAGCATGCTTCCCAAATTGAACTTTATGTGGGTGTGTTACAAACGCCGGTCTCCTTCTTCTCCTCCTCCTCCTCCTCCTCCTCCTCCTCCAAATTCTTGCTTTGCGCCAGCTTCGTGTGCCTCGACTCTCCCGCCTCCCTCCTCCTCCCCCTGCTCCTCCCCCTCCTTCCCCTCCTCCTCCTCCTCCTCCTCCTCCTCCTCCTCCTCCTACTCCTCCACCTCCACCTCCCTCCACCTCCCTCCACCTCCCTCCTACTCCCCCTCCTCCCCTGCTCCTCCTCCTCCTCCGCTTCCTCCTTCTCCTGATCCTCCTCCTTCTCTGCTCCTCTTCCTCCTGCTCCTTCTCCTTCTCCTCCTCCACGTCCTCCTCCTCCCTCCACCTCCCTCCACCTCCTTCCTCCTTCCCCCCCCCCGCTCCTCCGCCTGCTGCTCCTCCTCCTCCTCCTCCTCCTCCTCCTCCTCCTCCTCCTCCTCCTCCTCCTCCTCCTCCTCCTCCTCCTCCTCTCTCCTTCTCCTTCTCAATTCCTGCTCCTGATAAAGAACTTCTCGTTGTCGCACCTCGATGACAATCGGAAAGGCGGGTCGGGCGAATCCCCTGAGACGTCCTCACCATTTATGATGTTCGAGCTTGAAATTTGCAATAGTCTCACGGATGGAGTGCGGGCTGCTTCCAAAGTTTGGCTCTCGCCGTAGCACCGCGCACATTCGTCTTAAACACATGTTCCCCAGTCAGAGCTTGCCTCTGTGGGGGTTCTAGCGGATTCATTCCCCAATCAGAGCTTGCCTGTGGGGGCTCTAGCGGATTCATTTCCCAATCAGAGCTTGCCTCTGTAGGGGTCCTAGCGAATGTATTCCCAAATCAGAGCTTGCCTCTGTGGGGGTCCAAGCGGATTCATATGGTTAGGTGAGCTTCGCCATCGATTTCCGCGGCCCGCCCGGGTGCCCGGGTGCCCAGGTGCCTGGGTGCCTTATAGCCCTATAGCCCTACAGCCCTATAGCCTCATAGCCCTATAGCCCTATAGCCCAATGGCCCTATAGCCCTATAGCCCTAAAGCTCCATAGCCTCACAGCCCAATAGCCCTATAGCCCTATATCTCTGAAGCCCTATAGCCCCATAGCCTTATAGCCTCATAGCCCTATAGCTCTATAGCCCCATAGGCCTATAGCCCTATGGTTATATTGTCCTATAGCCCTATAGACTCACGGCCCCATGGCCCCATAGCCTTATAGCCGCATAGCCCCAGATCCCCATAGCCCCATAGCCTTATGGCCCTATGGCCCTATGGCCCTATAGCCCTATAGCCCTATAGACCTATAGGCCTATGGCCCTATAGCTTCATATCTCTATATCCCCATAGCCCCATCGCCCTATAGCCCAATATGCCTATAGCCCTAGAAATACTTTGATTGGTTTTTTCTCCAATATCATATGGTTCGGTGAACTATGCCGCCGACTTCCGCGGCCCGCCCGGGTGCCCAGGTGCCCGGGTGCCAAGTTGCCTGGATGCCCGGGTGCCTTATAGCCCTATGGCCCTATAGCCGTGTAGCCCTGCCCTATAGCCCCATATCCCCATAGCCCTACAGCTCTATAGCCCCATAGCCCTATAGCCCTATAGCCTTATAGCCTCATAGCCCTATAGCCCTATCGGAATAGAGCCCTATAGCTCTGAAGCCCTGTAGCCCAGTAGCCCTATAGTCTCATAGCCCTGTAACCCTGTAACCCTATAGCCTAATAGCCCTATATCCCTATAGCCTTATGGTTCTATAGACCTATAGCCCCATAGCCCTATAGACTCATAGCCCTGTGGCCCTATAGCTCTACATGCCTATAGCCCAATAGCCCTATAGCCCCACAGCCCTATATCCCTATAGCCCTAGAGCCCTATAGTCCAATAGCCCCATATCCCCATATACTCAATAGCCCAGTGGCCCTATAGCCCTGTAGCCCCACAGCCCCATAGCCCTATAGCCCTTCAGCCCTATAGGCCAATAGCCCTGCAGCCCTATAGCTCCATGGCCCTATAGCCCCACAGCCCCATCGCCCATAATCCTACAACAACTTCGATTGGGGCATTTCTCTGGTATCATATGGTTCGGTCAGGTGTGTCGCCAATTTCCGCGGCCCGCCCGGGTGCCCGGGTGCCCGGGTGCCTCACAGCCCTATAGCCCTATAGCCCTATAGCCTCATAGCCCTATAGCCCCATAGCCCGATAGCCGTATGGCCCTGTAGCCCACTAGCTCTCGAGTCCTATCGCCCTATCGGCTTGTAGCCTTATAGCCCTATAGCCCTGTCGCCCTACCGCCCTAGAGCCCTATAGCACTATAACCCTTTAGCCCTATGGCCTAATAGCCCTATAGTCCCATGACCCTATAGCCCCATAGGCCTATAGTCCTATAGCCCAACAGCCCAATAGCCCTATGGCCCTATAGCCCTCTATCCCTATAGCCATATAGCCTCGTAGCCTTATAACCATTTAGCCCTGTAGCTCTATAGCCCTATAGCCCCATAACCTTACATCCCTATAGCGCAAGAGAGACAAGGAAACGTGCTCCTCCCGCCTATCTCCTCCGCCTCCTCTAGAAGAAGAGCAGCGCCACAAACATAAGCTTTTGGCGTTCCGCGCGGAGTGCCAACAGTTTATGTTTATGGTGTTTTTTCTTCTTCGATCCTCGTGCTCCAGCGGTGCCGTGCGGCTCGTCCAGGCCACGACTGCTGCTGCCGTTCGCCTCCCCCGCCCCCCCTCAGAGGGGCGCCTCCGCGGGGGCGGCGTCGAGGCAGCGCTCGTGCAGCACGTGGGCGGCCAGAGACCTGGCAAGCTCAGAACAACAGCACTCGGAGACTTTGGAAAAAGGCGGCAACACCAGAATCTCTTCCTCCGCCCTCCTCCCTTCTCCTCCTCCTCCTCCTCCTCCTCCTCCTCCTCCTCCTCCTCCTCCTCTTCCCGCTTTGCTCATCCCGCTTGCCTCGAGAGCGAGAAGCCTGAGCAGAGGCAGGGGCTCGGCCGCGCAGGAGGTCTGCCCCCGCTGGGCCGCCCCGCGCCCGCGCGCACGGCGAGCGCTCCCCCTGCCTGGCTCCGGCTCCGGCGGGGCCTCCTCGGACTGCCGCGGGCGGGGCAGGCCGCGACGGTCTTGGGAGCCTTGCAGGGCGGGGGCCTCCTCCGCCGTGGGAGGAAGATCCCGGGCCCTGGAGCTTGGTGCTGGTGGTAACCTCGCGGCCACCTGGGAAGCCCGGGTATTACCACCATTGCCGAGATCGGGATCATCTTCCCTCGGTGGAGGCACACCGCCGGAATCGGTCCTGGTGCCAACCTCCAGAGGCCTCCGAAACTCATCAGGCCAAAGCCAGGGTGGGCAAGCTCGCCTCCCGAATCTGGTCAGCGCGCGCTGCGCGGGCACACCAGCCCCCTCGTACAATGAGTACGTGCGATTTCGCCATGCGAGCTCGTGGTAGGTTCCAGTGCTGAATGCCTGCCAGCTACGACATGATGGCAAGTGGGCCCTCAGGACGGTCCTGCCTCAAAACACCGATGATGTTTGCTTGCGCTGTGGGGCTCCCGTGCTCGGCATCGTAACGATCCCCCTCCTTCGCGGGAAGGTTCGAGGGGATCTGTGGGGTGGCGCCAGTGCCCCCCCCTCAAACGTGGTGGTGTAGCAGAAGCCAATCGCTCGTCAGTAGACCGCCTTTACTACGCGTGCGCCCGAAGCTCAGGTCAAGCAGGCATCGTCTGGAAATGGAACCCCGCAAAAGGATTAGGAAACCAAAGCAATTTCTTCGAGGCTTTGGCAATACATTCCGAGATATCACTCCAATGGCTGAATCCTGCCAGCCCTTTAGGGCTTAGGTGGTCTAGAGCATTTCCTCTTCCAAGACCGTTCTTCCCCTTCGGGGAGGGGTTTGGCCCTTCCCCCTCCCCCTCCCCCTAGGTCTGGACGGGGCGCCCCGCGACCAGATGTAGCGCCCAAGATGGTCCAAGACGAGCTCCTAGAGGGCCCCCCCAAAGCCCAATCTAGCTTGCAACATGCTCCAAGAGGCCCTGGTCAAATTGGCCTCAGAGCCTCCCAAAGGACACCGCCAAGCGAAAGACAGGTCCTGTCAACGTATAGGGGATACAAATGACAAATGTTTTTTTTTTTTTTTTTGTTTGTGTGTGTGTGTGTGTTTGTGTGCGTGCGTGCGTGTGTGTGTGTGTGTGTGTGTGTGTGCGTGTGTGTGTGTGGGGGGGGGTCGTGCCCGCTCGCCCGCTCGCTTCCGGTGGGCTGTCGGAGCCTCAAGGTGGCCCCCAGATGGCCCAATCGAGCCCCGAGGGGGGCCCAAGATGGCCCCACGACGACCCCAAGAGCGCTCCGAGATGGCCTCTGAAGGCGACAGCTGGGGCTCAAGAGGGACACCCGTAATCAAGCCCCCCCCCCCTCGCTCAACGCCAAAATCTTTGAACATTGGTTACCTCAAAAAATGTGACATCTCGGGGGCATCCTTGGGAGGCCTTCGTGCCAATATGGCTCCAAGATGGCCCTGGGGAGCCCGAGATGGCAGCCAAGATGGCTCAACATACCCGGGCCCCACGACATCCCCAAGCTGGCCCCGAGTGGCCCCGGAGCCTCCTAGGGATGCCCCCAAGAGGTCAAACTCCTCACACGACCAATGGGCAACCAGCTTTTGATGCCTCCTCGCCTCTTCGCCTGCGACGGGGTCTTGACGCCTCAAGATAGCTCCAAGAGGTCCCAAGAGAGCCCCAGGAGGGGTCCAACATGGTTCCAATGCGGTCCCAAGAGCGCACGAAGAGCGTCCAAAGAGGGCTCCAAGACGAGACTTTGGGGGCTCAAGGGGTAATCCCACCAGCCCTTTGGGCGTGAATGGTTTGGCGAGTTTCCTCTTCCAACCCCCTTCTTCCTCGTCGAGGAGGGGTTTATCATTGTTCCCTCTTAACAAACACTCCCTCTCCCAGGCGACCAGCAGTCAACCAGGATCAATGCGCCCCCCCCGCATCCCTGTGAACAGAATAATACGAAGCAAACTTTGGGGTAAACTCTTGGGTCATGCTCGTGGGTCCCGCGAGCACTTTGTATTGTTTTTTGACCGGACGGCAGGGGTGCCCTCGTATTGCCTGCTTTGCGCAAGGCCACCATCCACGTCAAAGAACAATACAACATGCACTTCGCGGCTCAATTTGGATCATGCGCGGCCACCTCGCGATTACTGCCCATTAGTGTTTGAGAACAAACGCGGGGGTGCTGGCATATTGCCTGCTGTGTGCAGGCCCGCCAGACATCATGATGGCCTCCCGCCGCGATTGTGCACTGGCTTTCGACAAGGATGGGGGGGGGGCCGGCATGTTTCCCAATGTGTGCTGTCACGTGCGCGGGCGCACTTGGCACGACGTGCGCGTGCCCTGGACGTGGCGCGCCTGTCGCGGCTGGACCATGCGGCACGCATGGCGCACGTGGCGCCTCTGGCGCGAGAGGCGTGCCTGGCACGCTTGGGCCCCAGGGGCACCCGGCGCACCCGGAGCGCCTGGCAAGTGTGGCGCCCCTCGCCCCAGCACCGCGCACGTGGGGTCCCTGTTGGTTCCCACTGGCCGTCCGCCCACAGGCGACCGCCGCACATGCTGAGGCTCGGGTGCTACTCATGCGTTGGGAGGGTGGGCGGGTCTGGGCGAGACAGCTTGCGGGCGGGGAGGGTGTCTTGACCCCTCCCCTCGTACCCCCCCCTCCCCTTTGGGCGTGGAGGGGGGGGGGCGAGGAGTTGGAGCGTCCGAGGCGGCCTCGACGAACGAGCACATCTCAGTGATTTTACTTAGGTTTTTGGGCCCCCCCCCCTTCTGTGATCGATCTCCTCCAAGATGGCCCCCAGATGGCCTCCGAGGCTTCCAAGAGTGGTCCCAATAGGGTCTCAAGATGCGCCCAGGAGGCCGCGAGAAGCCCCCACGAGGCCCCCAAGAGGCTCCCAAGAGACCCTCGAGAGGCTCCAAGAAGCTCTCCCGAGGCGCTCAAGACGCTCTCAGAGGCCCCCAGGACCCTTCCCCTGCCTCTCCTTCCTCTCCTTCGCCTCCTCCTCCGATTACTCCTCCCTCCTCCTCCTCCTCTTGGGGTATGACGGCTTCCCCAGCCCTTTATCTCACAGCATGCTTCTCCACATTCCTGATCAGGGCAACTCGCCTGGGCATCGTTTCTGGATGGGCTAGTGGGATTACGCGAAGCGTCTAGAATTGAGACCACCCTTATTTAATCGATGTTCTCCAAGATGGCCCCAAAGACTTCCAACTTGGCTCTGACAGGGCCCTAAGATGGTCCAAGTAAACTGCCAAGGGGCCCCCACATCGAAACATCCGCGAAGGCATTTATGGTTGACTTCTGGGCCTGCTCATGCAGATCCCGATTTTCGGTCTGACGGCTGCCACCTCTTTGTTCTACTGCGTGCTCCCACACTTCGCCCATGAATGCAACTCGCCTGGGCATCTTTGCTGGATGAGCTGGTGAGGATACGCGAAGCATCAATACTTTCGTAACACGCATGGCGGGTGAATTTCCGAACGCTTGAGAAATCAGGTGGGTGCAATCTGACCCATCAACGAAATCCTGCGCTTTTTGTCCGAATGGAGCCCTCCATCAGGACGGTCGGGGCCCAACGCAACTATGGTCGCAGGCGGGAACCTGCTGGACGCCTTGTCCGCAGCCACTCGATCCAGGCCTAAAGCCTGTCCAACAGAACTGTCCTAAAGGGGAGCCCTTTCCAACGCCTCTATCATACGCGCGGCTTGAAGCTTCGCTCCCTTTCTTCCTCCTTCTTCTCCTCCTCCTTCTCCTTCCCCTTCTTCTGCTGCCCCTTCCCCTCCCTCGTCACCTCGCCCTCGCCCTTCTGCTCCTTCTCCTCCTTCCTCCTCCTCCTCCTCCTCCTCCTCCTCCTCCTCCTCTCCATCTCCCTCTCCGTCTAACCCTCCTCGTCATCCACCTCCTCCTCCTCCTCTTCCCCCTCCCCCTCCTCCTCCTCCTCCTCCTCCTCCTCCTCCTCCTCCTCCTCCTCCTCCTCCTCCTCCTCCTCCCCCTCCTCCTCCTTGAGGTAGGGGGGGCGAAAAGTTACCACGAGGAGGAGGAGGAGGAGGAGGAGGAGGAGGAGGAGGAGGAGGAGGAGGAGGAGGAGGAGGAGGAGAGGAGGAGGAGGAGGAGGAGGAGAGGAGGGAGGGGGACGAGGGGGGAGGGGGAGGAGGGAGGAGGAGGAGGAGGAGAAGGAGGAGGGAGAGAGGGAGAGAGGAGGAGGGAGGAGGAGAGGAGGAGGAGGGAGGAGGAGGGAGGGGAGGAGGAGGTTGGGTGTCCCCCCGCCCGGGCCCGGGCAAACGGCTTTCCCCCTCCTCCCCCCATATCTCAAGTATGGGATTCTCGCTATGAGTTCGATGCCCCCACCTCCTCCCTTCTCCCCGCCTCCTCCCTCTTCCGCGTACTCAAGCAGCAGACTCACTCGCACCCACCCTGGCTCACTCCTGCCCAGACTCACTTGCAAGAAAACCCACTCATGCCCCGACTCACTCATACTCAGACTCGCTCATGCTCAGACCCGCTCGTATTCAGGCTCACTAGCACTTGCACCCGGTTATACTCATACGCATTCATGTCCAGACCCACGTGCACTCAGAACCAACCACACTCAGATTCACTCCGACGCAGGCCCACTCACACTGCATATAACTCGCCCTTTTAGTCGCTCATACTCATGTGCGCCCATGCTGATACGCAGAACACTCGGTCTCGCTCACGCTCGAGCTCCGCGACGTGGCAGGCATCCGCGCTCGGGCCTCTTCTGCGGGGGACCCGCCG